ATAGGTCACAGCCTCTCAGGATGTCATAGGTCATAGCCTCTCAGGACATCAGGGCTTCTCAGGACATCCCAGCCTCTCAGGATGTCACAGCCTCTTAGGATGTCACAGCCTTTCAGGACATAAGGGCTTCTCAGGATGTCACAGCCTCTCAGGACATCAGGGCCTCTCAGGACGTCACAGCTTCTCAGGACGTCCCAGCCTCTCAGGACGTCCCAGCCTCTCAGGATGTCACAGTCTCTCAGGACGTCCCAGCCTCTCAGGATGTCATTAACACACAGTGTTGGAGAGAATGAGGAGGGTGGTTCTCTCTCTAAGCACCATGGTTTGAGAAGAGACAAGTGAGGGGGGCTCCCGTTCCACCTTTCCAGGGCATTGCCCACATGCTGTTTCTTGAGAGCAAACCCACCTGCCCAAGCACAGAGCTGGCCCGTCTGTACCCAAGGGAAGGGCTGCACTTCTGTGAGGCCCAGGAAGGGTTCTGTGGGCTTAGCTGACTGCCCCATCCCAACAAGTCTTGCTACAGGATAGATGCCTCCCCTAACCCCTCTCGAGGCTGACACACCTGAGCCTCCTGGTAGCTGAGGCAGGAAGCACTTGTGAGCTCCATGGGGGCAGATGCTCAAAGCTGGGACCAGGGTGTCCACCCAGTGGCTTACAGGGACAGAAACTACCCTGGGAGACTCCCTTCCCACAGGACTAGGGTATGAAAGATTAAAGGAGCAAACGTTTCTAATTCCCTCATTTAAATTTCAAGGTTTGAATTTTAATTTTCCTTTTAAATAAACATTCTTTGAACAATGATGAGTAAAACAAAGGTGTTTGCAGAATCCTCTTGGAGTGTTACGTCTCTCAGACCCTGTCCTTTCCTTCCCGACCTTCCCACCAGTTCTCACTTTCTAGTTACTTACGTAGTTATTGCTTGAGGAATGAGAGGTGAGGTGATGAGGAATGATAGCAGGAAGGTGGCAGGACGGGCAGTGGACGTCACCTGCATGGACAGCATGCTGGGCACGTGGTGGCCATGAGAGTCAGCTGTGTGCCCTGCCGGCCGGGTCAGGACCATGGCTGCCCAAGGTGAAGTTCAAGTCTGCCCAGTGGATTGATGTGAACAGGTCTTCTGGAAAGAAGAGGTGCTGTTCTTTTTTTTTTTTTTTTTTTTGAGACAGAGCCTCAAGCTGTCCCCCTGGGTAGAGTTCCGTGGCATTACAGCTCATAGCAACCTCCAACTCCTGGGCTCAAGCGAGTCTCCTGCCTCCGCCTCCCAAGTAGCTGGGACCACAGGCACCCGCCACAACTCCTGGCTATTTTTTGGTTGCAGCCATCGTCGTTTGGCAGGTCTGGGCTGGGGATTCGAACCCGCCACCTTAGGTATAGCCGGTTGAGCTATAGGCGCCGAGCCGAGGTGCTGTTCTTAAAAGCTTCACTCAGGAGATCCTGGAAAGATTTGTGGCCAACACTAGGCACTGGGAGCCACAAGCACACATTGTTTTTGTCCACACAAGGTTGTTTGTTGTAAGTTTTTCATGAAAGCAAAACTGACAACCAGAGGGGGAACCGTATGTTCTAATGCCACATTTTATTATATTTCTCATCTCTAAATAAAAATGCCAGAGCAGTGTTCCTGTGCTACTGTAAGGGAAGAGAGGGTGACAGGGGCTGCCTCCGTCCCACAGAAAGCTCCTGTGACCAGGTGTCCACTCTTGCCTCTGCTCCACAGTGTGATCTGGACTCCAGCCTCCCCAGGATGGGGCATAGTCGCCTGTCCTCAAGCTGCTCTGTTCTTCTGTATTTAATGACTTGACTCCCTGGAGACGCAGAAATGAATGGAGTGCACCCTCTGCGGGCCGGCCCTCTGCGCCAGTGCCCTACTGGTGACTCCAGGCCACCCCCAAGTCCCGTGTCAGTGATTCTCATCCTGCCCAGCCATACAAGCCTTCAATAACACTCTCCTCATCACTGCCCACTAGGCAGCCATGGTGGCATTGTTCCTTGACAAGAGCCCTCCCCTCCAAAGGGGTGCATCTCTGGCTGGGGGCATTTAACCCAGGGACACTTTAGGTACAGCAGCCCTGGGTGTCTGCATGCTGGAGCACTCAGGTCTCTGACCTGATCCTGCAAAGCAAAGCCATCATGTCTACCCCATACCTGCAGAGCTGTTATACCTACTACCCATGCGCCTGCAGAGTTGTTACACCTACCCCTATACCTGCAGAGCCCTCACATCTACCACCATACCTGCAGAGCTATTACACCTACTACCCATGCGCTTGCAGAGCCCTCCCATCTACCCACGTGCCTGCAGAGCCCTCCCGTCTACCCACGTGCCTGCAGAGCTGTCACACCTACTCAGGTACCTGCAGAGCAGGGCCATAGGCGGTGCTTGGGATGAGAGAGGGACACACAAAACAGCCTGATCCTCTGAGAGCAAAGCAGTTTAAAAGCCGACCTGGGAAAGCAGTGTAAGGCAGTGGAGGGCGCTCGTGTGGAATGAGCTGCGTAGCCCAATCTCACCCTGGGGGTTCGGAGGCTGTGGCCCTCATCCCATCCAACAAGCGCCCTGTGTGGACAGATGCTAAGGGAGATGCAGGAACTCTTTTTTAATATATTCTGATGGGGCTGTAGGTTTAGGGTTCTCACATTCTCAGAAGGGGACAAACCAAAATCTAAAATTGTCCTTGCTTTTCTGTGACTTAGTTGGTGTTATGAGTCTCCGAAAATCTTCCTTTCTGGGGAGATTGTCACCCTATAGTCACCAGAAAGTATATGCCAAGCAGGTGGCTCAGGCCCTGGGGGGAATATTGCAGACTGATGGTGACATTCCAGTGCTGAGACGGAGCTGGAAACTCAGTGGGAGAATCAGGCAGTGAGTCTGCTGATCACAGGGATCCTTGACGATCTGGGGCAATTGAGAATGACGGCACTTGTCTCCAGGTTGTGACTGTTGAGAGCGTCTTTACAAAGCAGCCAAGCTGCTGCAGCAGCGCTTCTAAAAATGTAGCAAGTGCCCAGGAGGAGAAGCTGGGGCAGGGTCAGAGCTCAATTGATGGAGCAGGGGCCCAGGAGGAGAAGCCAGGCAGGGTCAGAGCTCAGTGATGGAGCAGGGGCCCAGGAGGAGAAGCCGGGGCAGGGTCAGAGCTCAGTGACCAATTGAGGGCCCAGGAGGAGAAGCTGGGGCAGGGTCAGAGCTCAGTGACCAATTGAGGGCCCAGGAGAAGCTGGGGCAGGGTCAGAGCTCAGTGACCGATTGAGGGCCCAGGAGGAGAAGCTGGGCAGGGTCAGAGCTCAGTGATGGAGCAGGGGCCCAGGAGGAGAAGCCGGGCAGGGTCAGAGCTCAGCAATGGAGTGAGGGCCCAGGAAGAGAAGCTGGGCAGGGTCAGAGCTCAGTGATGGAATGAGGGCCCAGGAAGAGAAGCTGGGCAGGGTCAGAGCTCAGTGACTGCCTGTGTCCAAGTTGTCGAGTTGTTTGGGAACTTATTCTACTACATGAATTTGATTCCTGCTGATAGAGGGATGACAGCAGAGTGGGTGCTTGGTGACACGGGAGTAGATATCCCTGTCCCTGACAGGGCAGGTGCTCCTGCTCACCAGGCTCAGTTTTGCATTTCCGTTGTTGCCGGAGGGTCTCTGCCAGGCTGCAATCACCAGGACCTGGCACGCTGAGGCTGGTGCATGGTGATAGAGTGGGATTTTTTTTCTAGTCTTTTAAAAAGTAAAAGTAGAACTCTTAAAAAAAAACAAACAAAAAAACATGTAAGTGTAAACATCAGCCATTGCCATCAATCATCTCATTTTTAAAGCCTGAAATACAATGAAGAAAACTCTCCCGTGTAAATATCTATGCAAAATGTGGTGTCATTCAAAGTAAGTCTGGATTGGCGGCTGCCCCATGTGGATGAGGTCTTTGGTTAGACCTAAGGGATGTGGGGTCTCACTGCTCTCTGAAGTCATGCAAGCTTTCTTCTGCATACCACAAGTCAGGTGAGGGGCAGAGAAGGACAATTCTGGATACTGTGAGGCTGGGCTGTCCCAACACAAGTGCCCCGTACACATGGCCCCCGTTTCCCTCAGTGCTCTCCCACGAGGGGGCCTTCTTGCCCTTGTTTGCTTTCTGACAATTGTGCTTCATCTTGGAAACTACATCAGCTTCACAGTGATTGAGCAGGTAGCTGACCTGTGACCCAGCCAGAGTCCCCTACAGGTGTGAGCCAGGGTCCAAGGCAGCCTCCCCTACACAGTGTTCAGTGACCATGCCCATCGGCTTGCCTCATGCAGGGGGTGGCAGCTGGAATGCTCTGTGCCATCTCTCCAGGGCTGCAGGCCAACAGGGCATAACCCACCCTCACCAGCATCACCACCCTACCAGCGGCAGGTGAGAAGGCAGCATTTCTGTGGCACCAGCAGCCGGGACCCTGTGTCCCACCTCCTGTCCCTTCCAGGACTAGCTTCCTCTCTCACACAGTGGGAAGTGGAGGCTTCTTGGCCTGGGTGGCCTCTCTGCTAACCCTGACCCTGACCCTAACATGTGCACCTGCCTGGTCCATCACCTGGATGCCTGGCTGCGCCTCCCTCCTGTCCCCACAGGGCAGAGTGATCAGGACAGGCTGTACTTACCAAGCAGCAGCCGAATCTGCACAGCACCACCAACCAAGTCAGCGTGGATACACTAGGCACCTCAGAAGGGCTGGAGAAAAGACAAGAATTACATCAGATGGAAATGAAAACTGTGTGACTTTCTGGTGAACCGAAGGGGAAGAGCTCAAGAGTTCAGCACCAATGTTCTCTCACTGCAAAAATTTCCTTTCTGCCCCTGCTGTCTTGTGTCTGCTCGTCTCCATGCCAAGGGACCTGCCCCACACCTGCAGAACGGTCGTGTCTACCCCCACACCTGCAGAATGGTCACGCCTACCCCCACACCTGCAGAATGGTCACGCCTACCCCCACACCTGCAGAACGGTCGTGTCTACCCCCACACCTGCAGAATGGTCACGCCTACCCCCACACCTGCAGAATGGTCGTGTCTACCCCCACACCTGCAGAATGGTCACGCCTACCCCCACACCTGCAGAACGGTTGTGTCTGTCCACACACCTGCAGAACGGTCACGTCTGCCCCCACACCTGCAGAACGGTTACGTCTGTCCACACACCTGCAGAACGGTCACGTCTGCCCCCACACCTGTAGAACGGTCACGCCTACCCCCACACCTGCAGAACGGTTGTGTCTGTCCACACACCTGCAGAACGGTCATGTCTGCCCTCACACCTGCAGAACGGTCACGCCTACCCCCACACCTGCAGAACGGTCACGCCTACCCCCACACCTGCAGAACGGTCACGCCTACCCCCACACCTGCAGAACGGTCACGTCTATCCACACACCTGTAGAACGGTCGCGTCTGCCCCCACACCAGCAGAATGGTCGTGTCACCTGCAGAACGGTCACGCCTGCCCCCACACCTGCAGAACGGTCACGCCTGCCCCCACACC